AGACGACTCATTTTATCAAATCATATTTGAAAGCAGAGCTGTGCGACATCCCAACAAACAAGATCTCCAAGATTAAGTAGCTACGAAAATTTCAAGATTTGATCAATTTTACTGGTGAACTTAATGAAAGTTTGTACTAACTTTGCAACTCATCTTTAACTTGGGTAACTTGTTTGTTTATCTAAACGTTCAATATCTTGTTAAAAGTGAACATAATTCAATGATTTGTAACCTCACGATGTTAAATGTGTAAAATTTGGCAAACTTCTGTCCAAAATCTCGGTCTATCCGAGCCCTTTATGCTCGTCCAGTTACATCCAAATGAACTTGACTATAAGTTTTCTTCCGAGTACCAAATTGAATAGTTAAATCAGTACCAGTACTATACTGATAAAGGACTTGTACTGAATTAGAGACGTTCACACAAAGGAATCTAATTAATGAATGACCACTGAAATCAATTATTTTGTAGGGGTCGTTGACCAAACAGTTAGTCTCTGAGGCGCCAAACTCAAACGAATGATTATTGTGTTAGACAATAATCTATGCAGTAGTTGTCAAATGTTACGACTATTATAAGGTTTGTAACGTTCAACGTGTACAACTTGAGTTCTTGCAATAATCTTTTATCTCCAAAGCCAAAGTTTTCATAAAACTTCCTTTACTATCTTTTTTTGATTCGGGTTTATTCAGCCTTACAGTTATGAGAATAATAAAGGATACTTGGAGCATCAGAGATCGGCCTTGCCAACGATTTTAAACTTTGATCTTAGGATCAAAAAAATGAAAAGATTAACTAAGAGGTCGATCTTAAAATGTTTTGATTTTCCGTACAGCTGTTGACTCAAATGATTGAGGACTGAAATCAGTAAAAAATTTATCAATTTTCGGGTTATTTCACTTCGTAGGCCAGTCAATATTTCTTGCATACTCACTCCTTTCCTGCCATCCCTAGCAAGATTAAAGGCATTTCTCGAAATATTGATAGCTTCATTGTTTTTCGCGCACTGATTTTTTCCCTGTCTTGTGAAATTGCATTAAAGGCCATTTACTTTACTGTATTAATTCACAACTCTTCACATTTACCATGTGATATGTTAAGAAAATTTTTAGAGCAAATAGACACACATTTTGCATGTGGTATAAAGACTGGTAGTTGGGGAATAGCTCAAGGTGATTAAATTTATTCAAAATGAAAGCTGAACCGTGAGATCAGAGCTGGAGTAATGAATTGCTTATGATATACGATAAATCGATAAGTAATTTAATATGCGATGAAAATCTATTCAATGATTATTCCTGAGAAAGGACAATAAAAATTTTCATATTCTCATGTCTCACAAGACAGGTTAAGTAAATTGTGATGATCTTGAAGATAATGGTTATAATAGTGAGCATAAAAACCAAAATGAAAGCTCGATTCAGTATCAAACATGATAACAAGCAAATCAATAATAAAGCAGCCAAATTGAAGACAATAAATGGGAAAGTTGTATGAAAAAGAGACAGAGAGTCAAATGGTTAAGAGATGAGTGGTAAAGGTAAAACTTGTTTGGGTGAAAAGGCAAGAGAGAGAGAGTAAAGAGAGTTGAGAATAGAAAAGACTGGGAGTGAAAAAATATCAACAATTATGAGAGAAAAGAGGATTCAAGTTGAAATTGTATTTATGCTCATGATATACGTGAATAAAAATTATAGAGTTACCGGTAATTTTGGAACAAGAAATGAACTCATTTGATGAAGACTTGAATCAGTCCATTAGCATGATTGATGAACCTTTTGACCATCAAAAATGACAGTATAAAAGGTAAAAGGGAAGGAACCATGAAAATTTTGGATCAAAATAATTGAGTAAAATATTGTACACAGAAGTTTGCAAATTATCAAGAAGATTTTAGTAAATGGAAAAATATTTTTCATTCCTTAAGATGACACCGAACCGCAAGAAAAGTTTCTTCTGTTGAACCAATTTTGATGAGTAAAATTATTCAATTCAACTGGACAAGAACATGATTTTACGTCCTTTTGCAAGACAAAAGTTTATTGGTAATGTCTAGCAAATAGAAAGTCAATTGTCCTTTAAAAGCAAAAAATGATATTATTATAATGATAATGATGATTATTTCAATAATGATTATCGTGATTGTGTGACTTTCATGGTTGAATATTGCAAAAAAGCTCATTGATCTTTACGCTCTCATTTTTATCTACTTTAGTACTTTTATCATTCACTCAACTCTATCAACTGCCAATGTCAATTTACCATGTTTATTAAGTTAACGTTTCTTCATCAACACGATAAACTAATGATTACCTTTGAATTTGATTAAATCAGGAATGAAGAGAAAAAAAATTGTCCAAACTTTTTTTCTCTCTCTCTCTCTCTCTTTGCTACCTTTACAAGTTTGACTGGCTGCTGATGAGGTAAAAATAATATTTAAAAAGAGCTTCACTAGTTTACCATTTAATGTTGAAATGAATTTAATCAATGGTTCAGCAATTATGAACATGAACATTATAATAGTCATGAAATTATCATGAATCGTTTCGAGTTTACTTTCTGCTTCTCTTTCTTTTATTCAATTCTTGGACTGGATATTTAGCTGCACTGATTTACATGCATTTTATTATCGCATATTATTGGAAAGGAAAAGAGAATAAAAAAAAGTTAAAAGTTTTTCGTGATTCATCCATGCTCATGGTTATTGAATCTTGATTGAAGATAATTATTATTGAACTTTTCTATTCAATTGCTTGATATCAAAAATTAACATTCGAGATAAGAGAGAAAACGGGAAAAGTACTTTCTCTGTTTCGACAATTTCAAAGTTGACTGATTTTTCCATGTCAATGATGAACTAATTTTCATTTAGAATTGTCTGAAATTCAATTTTCTGTACCTTTTTTCTCTTCAACTTTTTCTCTAATTAGTTTGAATTCTCATGGGAAGTTAAAATGTTGAACTGAGATTTTTCAATCTTCATTTTTTCGTGTTGCTGATCATTCAAAGTGCTTGTTCAACTAGCCAAAATATTAATTGATCAAATGATGAGCAGAAAAAAAGTGTTCAATAAAAGGCAAGAAAAGGCTTCCCTGAATGAGATGAGATAAATATCATCTGATTGACAGTAAAAGCAATTGCATGTTACTGTCCAAATAAAGTTACAAATGGTTAGAATGTGATTACAGTAAAGAAAAAACAATTTATTTTCTAATTGAATAAAGTTTACTTTTCCTCTGTTCTTGTTGGATAACAGAAAGTCTAGAAAGCGTGTAAAAAATGAAGATTGTATTTTCACTCGAAATTGTTGAAAACTTTAGATGGGAAAAACTGAGTAAAATCGTGCAACATTTTCTCTAGTAAAATATCTGAAATCGATCAACACTGTTTGACCAAATGAAGTTGTAAACTTGCAATTGATGAGGATACCTCATGATTAGCTGACAAATAACTAAACAAGTTAGAATTTTGGCTTGTCAAACTTGGTATTTATCATAAAATGTTTTGTGCAACAGCTACTCGTGAAGAGTCAAATTGTATATTTGAAAAGTGTTTAATCAAAATTAATATTATCCAATTTGATTGTTACTTTTTACTTGCACTTGAATCGCTTAATCCTTACGGATCTATCTGTCTGTATAAAAGTTTCCTTTCTTATCAACTTCATCATCATTTTCCTCTTCCTTTTCCTTCCCATCATCATTATCATCATCTTACTAGTTAGTCTTAATACTTTACCTTTCATTCACATTTCTAGTTTCACTTTTCACCAACTTTTCACTCTATTGACTTCTAGTCAAAAATCATAATACACATCATCATCATATCTTCCATCATAATTCTCATCAATATTTGTACAATAAAAATTCATCTTTACCGCTGATTCTCAGTTATAACTTGCGTACGGTCGATGCTGAACGTCCCAGATTTAAAACTGAAGATTTCGAAAATTAATCAGCTTCGAATTTGGGTTTCAAGGTTATTCAAGGTCAATCGGTTGTTTAACATTTGACATTTGAAAATCATGGTGTCTTTTCTTCACTGATCCATGTTAGTTACAAGTCGAAAACTTATTTGGAAGTAACAGATATGTTAGAATGACAGAACGACTTTGAATAGACTTTCACTTGAAAATGAATGTCCTTCAAAACGCTCATGCTGAAGTTTCAAGTGAGTGCTCTCTGGTTACGAAGTTAAGATTTTGCATTAACATCTTAAATATAAGTTGAATAACCACGCAAATTGTTTTACTATTGACCATTTCATTAGAAATAAACAATAAATTTTCTCCCTAAAAGTATCAATTCTGAAACGGACCGATTCTGGCAACGAAAAAAGGCGAAAAACTTGTTATGCCTAGAAAATCAAATCGACAAAAATGAAGCAAAAAGGCCTTCACATCACTGGATAAACTTTGGTATTAAAATCTGTTTGGGAAAAAATAAGTTGTTGAATAACAATAGATTGACAAAAGTGTTTGCATTTACACCTTTACTGTTTACCAGCAATCCGTATTGTACTTGAAATCAATTGATTTTGTCATTGATGTTGATGAAAATCAATCTCAATAATTTATCCATCATGAAACAACATTATTTCATGTAAAGAATGAGAGAGGCAAGGGAAAATGAAAGAAAATTTATTGTTTCTCCCTGATCTGAATCGACTTGAAATTTGTAAATTTTTTTACTTTCACAAGTTTACTCATTTTTTCCTGATAAACAATGGTCACAATTCATCATGCCAACAGTTTATCAAAAATGGTAAAAAACTCGATTCCATTTGTGACTTGTTTTCCGAGTTTAACATTTTTTTACCTCTTCACTTGTTTTACATCTCAACTTGACTGAACTGAACAAAGTTCACAATCAAACTGAATCAAAACCTATACAGAAAAAGGCAGCCAAAAAAATAAACGATTGAAACGTTATAAGTGAATATAGATCATGATGAAGATCATGCGTTCTGTAAACAGAGAAGTAAAAAAAACTTCATCAGTTTACCATGTTCACTGTGTATGTGTGTGTGTGATCAACTTATTATAACTTTAGTATCAAGTTCCCTCTCATTGAATGCAAGTTGAATGACTAAAAACTGAATTCTGTTCAATCAGTGAAACAAGCAATAGAAAGGAGAAAAATAAAGCGATATTTCTTTTCCATTCATTAGCATTTTGTTTAATTGTCTTTTTTGTGCCATCAATTTCATAATTAACAACCTCATTATCAACATGGATGTAAAGTGAAAGTTTCAATTGAATCACCATGAAGGGTTAACAATTATCGAATTTTTTGGAAAATTTCAAAATTCGAAAAGTTTCATCAAAGTTTGACTTTAAAATTTACTCTCAAAAGCATATCAATTTTTTGGAATATAATTCATTTCGATCAGCAAAATGCTCAACCTAAAAGTGACTTGATTGTTGGTTTATCTTCAATCCCTTTCCACTCATCAAACAAGGATCATTCATTGTTAATGTTATTGTGCATAAAGTTACATTATGATCAACTCTGCTAATCTATTTTTACTTCTTGCTATTTATCATGTTATTCAGGGTAAGTTTAACTTTATTCACTGTAAAATTTTTAGACTGAAAACTTTTTCTGTTTGCAAAACTTTTCTTCACTTTTCATCCTTCTCTTGATAAGGTCCATATTGAGATCATTTAATTTTCACTCTAACCTTTTACCATCAACTGATTGATTGTAGATCATTATATATTCATGGTTATGTTTGTAATAATGATAATAATACATTTACCTTGACTACCGAAAAACACAGAATTGTAAACTAATATTATTAATAACAAAAACTTTCTCTCTTCTTCTCTCCCTTTATCTCTTTTGTTTTCTGGTTTTCATTATCTATTTTTACCCTCATAATCATGTACGATGGATACCCTTGTACATCCAGAGACCAGGCTGGTTACATCTTTACGATTGATTATGTTTGATTTACCTTCTCCCGTGATGCGTGGTGATTCAGTTGAACTTTCATGTATTTATGAACTTGAAAATGATCGTTTATATTCAGTTAAATGGTACAAGAATAATGTTGAATTTTACCGATTTGTACCAAGAGATTGGCCACCCGGTCAGTTTTTACCTCATAAAGGAATTCGAGTTGATGTAAGTTAAAGTTTTTACACTCAGTTTCTTCCGTCAACCTCAAATTATTTAAAGATCAACCAACAGTCAACAGTCACAGGTTGTAAGCTCAAGCTTACTCAGCCTTGAAACAAGTGCAAACTTGTCACGAGTCAAAGGCATGAACAGAAGCTCTTGGTTAACCGCAAGACTCAACCTTTCAGGTTGAAGTATTGACAGTCAACTGAGGTCGAGACTTGCTTGACAATTTTACTTAAAACTGATAACTTTAGCTTCACCTCTTGACCTTAACTCTCAATCATTTTGAGCAAAATTCTTGATTACTGTGCAAAGTTTCATTAATTTTAGAGCAATTTCTATTAGTTAATCTTACACAATTATTCGTTTGAATCAACTTAAACAATAAGCTTAGCTTACTAGTCTAATAATAATACTTTACCGTGATTATCATTTGCATAAACGGTAACAATGAAGATGTACGAGAAAAAAAATGTAATGAGTAGCAAAAAAGTATAGCATTAACAGTTGAGTAATAATCTTTTTAAGGTTATTTACTGAACCTTTTTTTTTGATACAATTGGTGTAATTGATGATGAAAAATGAAAGGATAATGAGGCAAGAAAAAAAAGAGTTAACAATGAATCAGAAAAACAGAATAAGCAAAATTGAGTAAATTATTTCATAGCTATTTCCACGTTGCTTGAATAATACCTAATAATAAACTCTGTTAAATACTCTGAAAACCACAGATAAATATAACAATAATTTTAATCAAGAAGAGCAAAAAAAGAATCACACTTTTTCCTCATCATCTTGCATCTTTATCAATTAGACAATGATGTTGATGAACCCAAAATGCTTAACCAATTAACATTATCAGGTTGAGTGAAATGTTGATTAACATGCAATTGAATTGCTCTTTATCAATTAACCAATGCTGATTCACTGGGAATGGAGTGAAAATGGAAAGCAAGGAAACACAATTTTTACTCATCAAATGATATTATGATAATGAGATAATATTTTATTTTGATAAATGATAAACATTTACTTTTTTCATCTTTTCTTGCACTTTTTTTTGCTCTCCTTCCAAAGCCAATTCACAGAGGAAATTATATTATACCATGATATTTAAGTGGATACAAAAAAAACATTTAAATATCATCATCTTTTGAACACCAATTTGAGAGGTAAAATTGTTTTTGTGTGTTTTCCATTTCTTTACCTTATGCTTTTTCACCTTATTCAAGTTTAAAAATGAAATTGAGTAAAACGATATTCAATCTCTCCATGGAATTGAAATTTTATTATTTATCAATTTATTATTGTGAGAAAAGTAAAGACAATTTTCGATGGGAAGAAATGAAAGAAAGTAACAAAAAAAAGTTCTTAGAAGTTGATTGATCATAATCGTATTGATCTATCACCATGACTTTAAAACGCAAATGTTCATCAATACCGAGCAAGATAATGTAATTATTTTTTCTTTTCATCCAATATTCATCTAGTCAAGTTCAAAGAGTAAATCATTATTGGCATAATTTCGTGTTAAATGAACTTTCTCAGAAGGATAAAGGAATATAAATTTTTCCAAATTCAATGAATCAGGGAGAAGATGAATATTGGATAGTTTTACTAAAGAAAAAAGCAATTTCCAAATGAATTTATCTATTTTCATTTTCATTATTGCAAACCTTGAGTTTGATTGCTTTATCGTTTATTAGTGGAAAAATATTAATATCAAAATGGTTCAATTCTTGAACTTTTTTTTCTCTCCTTTTTTTACCTTCAACTTGGCAAGTGAAAACTAATTTGAATTCATCTTTCATGGACAGATACAATGGAGCAAAATTGTGAGTCGGGAAAAGCAACTGGCAAACATAATTGTCATGATAATGATAATAATAATCTTAATTTCATTCCATGTGACTGATTTTCAGATCATTTCCATTAGATTTAGTTGATGTTGGGAGAAGACAAAAAGAGTGGAAAGGGAAGACAAAAAAACAAAAGAAAGTGAATTTTTTTAGCCAAACATTGCATTAATATCGATTGGGAGTTGAAAAAATATTATTTATATCAAGATACAGATATGTGTCTATAATGTAATATGCACATGAAAATACATTTAGTGATAGAGAAAGTTCAGTGAGTTCAAGATACACAGAGAAAAGAATCAGAAAAAAGGAGAAATTATGAGTATTGATTATGACGACAATCAATGAGGCTAAACATGGTAAAATGGGTTCAATGCAAGAATAAAAATGAATGGAAAAAAAAGTTGCAAAACAATTGACAGATGAGTTCAGTTGATGATCAAGAGTTGAATACTTTTAAATTGTGTAAATGCTCACGCCAAGCATTTGATCAAAGGTTAACTCGATTGACGTTTGAAGCGTCCCACACTAAAGGCTTAGCTTGAGTACTTTGAGAATCGTGATTTTACTTAACTTTTTTTTCTTCTACTTTGCAGTTGAACTTTTGAAAGTTGAAACATGACTGAATGAGAAAGTTATTAAATCATCATTTTATGTCTTATTCAATTTTAGGGTTGAAAGCATGAACAAGGAAAATATTTTTATACATTAAAAAGGCTGATTCTTCATTCACCTATTTTGATTGTCGATTCAGCGATGTTTTTTTTATTTGAAATGAACTTTGATTGAAAAATGTTTCGAGAATAAAAAAGCAATGACAAAGTTAACCAGTCAAATGGTATTCAAGTCATGGATGTTTATGAATAGAGTATGAAAAATTATGAGAAGACAAAAAAAAAGTCTCATCAAAAGATAAATAAATAAATAGTATTTTCAATTTTATTGTTAATGATAACTTTGTTCATCAGTTTATTCCTTATTCAGGTTCACATTTTACTGTCAACATTTGGTAACCTTTACTGTCCAGCAACTTTTGTTTTTCCATTAAATGTTAATGTTCCAATTTCTATTCAAATTGTTGATTCGTTTTAATGGTTCTTGACACAATTACTCTAGTTCTGTTCGTAAACACTCGACTCTGACATAAACTGTCTACTTTATTGAGTAAATCATCTTTAATCATTTGTCACTTCATCTTCATTCTTATTCCTTTTTCTTGAGTTTTCACCGCCACTTAACCCTGTTTTTACCCATTGAGGCCAATTATACCTGGGTTGCCATAATTTGATTAAATGTCAACCATGTTTTAAAAGATTTTCAGATGTTGAAAGGAAAAAAAAGAGAAGATAAAAAATTCTAGTAAACGTGTTCAACATTATTCTGATGGATGATAACAGGGAGTGAAAAATGACTCCCAGTCTTTCTATTTGCAATTTTTTTCTTTAAATTCTGTCAAAAGAATTAGACTTTTAACTTATCACAACAAAATTAACATAATATTTGTGTATAAGTCTTTGACTCAGTGTCTCGTCATTTCTCAAAAGTAAAGTTCATTTATCTCGGAAAAGTACAGAATTATGATGAGTTGAACTTTTCTTTTCTTTACTTTTCTCTCTCACTGCAAACAAATGATACTTATTCACCTTAGAGTCCATTTGGTTTGACTGTTTCAATATTTTTCCGTGTTCATTATTTTCTCCTTCCTTTTAATGCTGCTGTTCATTTTTATTCCAATTGATTCAGTAAATCCTTGAATTTATGTAACAAATATATTCAATCTGTATATTCATTGTTAATAATGCATTTTGTGTTTTTGCTTCAAGTAAAGGCAAAACAGAAAGAAGAAGAAGAAGAAAATCATTTTTGCCTAACTGTATCCATTTATCAATCTTGGGATAACTTTAACAGTATTTTTCTCTACTTGTTACATGAATGTAATTCATAACCACATCATGACCAGAACTTTTCTCTCTCAAGGAAAAGTTAATGCCAAACAAATTCAATTTAAATGATTTTACTTTTTTTACTCTCCTTTTTTTCCTCCTCATTCATGTTATTATTTTGCTTCTTTGTACAAAATCAAAGTATACTTACCAAGGAAAGCAACATTTGACTAAATTTGTACATTGTTCATGTAATTCAGATATTTGCTCATTATGATGATCACAGAATTTCAAGAGTAGAAAATCAAAGATTCATTGGGAAACTTGCAAGACTCCAAGTTGTCTCAATTTCCAAACAAAATACTAATTTTTTCCATTGATTTTCCATCTTTAATAGTTATCAAGATCAGGGAAAAATTCCGTTTATTTAAAAGATGTCGACCTTAATTCAACAGGAATTTACCGCTGTGAAGTTTCAGCCGAAGCTCCTACTTTCAACACGGCTGAGATGGAGAAAGAAATGAAAGTTTTTGGTAAGTTCAAGTAAACCAATGATAAATATTGTACCATTTTAAAGGTGCAAAATAACCAGAAATTCGATGAGAAATTAGTTAATTTTTTGTCCCGCAAAGGCAGAGTTAGTCAAGTTGAGTTAAACTTGAGTCACTGGCAAGTAGTCATTGTGAGTTGCAACCTTTTTTTATCACAATAATAATGCAAAATAATGAGCTGATCTTGAGCGTCATTAAAGTTGGTTAAACTTTTTTCAAATACTTGATGAGTGAACATGTTGGCTGAATAAAGCACATTTATGTTTAACCAATTTCTTGTCACATAATGAAAAATAACCTTTTGATGTACATCAAGTTTTGAAATTGAATTTGATGCATTCCACCTTCTATTCACCTTTCTTTTTCCCTTTGATAGTTTTGCCTTCTGAAGGACCAAAAATTACTGGAACAAAGCGTCAGGTAAAATTGGGTGATTCAATTAATCCAAATTGTACTTCATCCAAATCAAAACCAGCATCAACCTTAAGATGGTTTATAAATGGTAATGAGGTAAGTTCATTATATTATTTTTACCTCTACTATTACATTGCTATTGGTACTTATTATCTTTATTAATATCAATGGCATTATCTTATCATGATAATGATCGTATTCCAGGCAATGGTATTTGTAAAAACAATTTTATCCTCTTTTCCTTTTTTTGCTCATATTCATATTCCTATTATTCAGATTGTTTATTCATTGGGATGTAAATTTTGTTTTCATCATTTTTGTTCTCCTCTTGATTCTCATTGAGGATTCAAATGGTTATAAATATCAAAATTATCACAATCATGAAAACCTACTCATTTTATTAATGATCATTATCTTTTGTAGTTTATTATTTGTCTCTCTATCAACCTGTTTACAATCTAGTCTTTGATTGATTCATTCTCATTCATTTTTATCCATTTCTTCTCCAGGTTGGAATTGAACATCAAAGTTCTCATTCAACGACATTACATGAAGATGGACTGGAATCTTCTCATTTAGGTTTAAAAATGATTGTTAAAGATGAACATTTTAAGAATGGTCTAATGAAAATCAAGTGTACAGCAACCATATCAAGAATTTATATCATGTCCAATGAAGCAACGATACGAGCTGAAGGCTTAAGCCATCAATCATCAAGGCTTCATCTGAGTGAAAATTTAAACCAAGGTAAGGTTGTTTGATTGATGCAGAGAAGAGAGTCAAGTCAGGTCAAACTCTGAGGGAATGTAAAGGCTAGTCACGTAGCTCAAAAAGTCCTCGACTAAATAGCTAATAATGCCATTCAACAACAACCCACCACAGCTTTTGTCCGCCTTTAGCTTAACCTCTCTACAGTGCCTCAGTTTTTAGTTAAAGTAAAGTCTCTAATGAAAATATCGAAGCTTTCAAAGTGAAAAATGAATTTTAAAATCGAGCGTCTGTTACCGACGCCATTTAGTAATGACTTTTTCCCAACTTTATTCTGATTCTATAGTCATCCAGTTTCTCCGTGATTTAATGGTCACATCAATTTTACATTAATTTATATTAACATTTTTCTTCTCTTTCTCTTTCTTTCTTACATGTTTGTTTTTACTTGAACCCTCTATTTATATGGAAACCTTTCTTTACCCATTTTCATCATTTCACCCTGTGCTCGGGATAACAATAACATTGAAACTTAATCAACTTGATTGAATTACGATTATAAAGCTGTTCAACCTTCTGCAACAACAAGCTGTTTCTTATTAACCAATTCACTGACACTCATCTCAATTATACTGATTAATCTTCTATTGAATCAGTTGAAAACATAAGATCAAAAAGTGCATCAAAATGTAATATTGTAAAATCATCAAGACACGTTTAAAGTTTTAAAACAAAAAAAACAAACTTTGTCCAGTTAGTCAGTCAACTAAAAACAAGAGTTGCAAAGTAAACTCAATTAGACTGGATGAAAACTGGTGAAAACAATTGAACAGATAATTTGCTCAAAAGAACAAAACAATCACATGCGAGAATCATGCTGTAAAATATGAAGAAACTGAAACTTATTTGAAATCAAAGATGAACCAAGTGTACTTTTGTAGAAGCAGATGGAGCCACAGAGATTGACTCTTCCAAAGTAAACCAGATTTAAAGACAGTTTTTCCCTGCAAATTGATACATCATTACAATAAGTGCAAAGCCAAATCATGAGTTGCGACTTCGAGGTTGAAACAAAAGACCATTAGGAACCCATAATGTCTACAACATTGGCATCGACAATCAATAGATTATCAATCAATCTGCAGATGAAATCAATCTTTACATTCGTCTTGCTCTTCTCCCTTTGGCTCGATAATTTCCATCATTCATTGTATCAATTTTTCAAGTGGCTTTATTCACTCAATCAACTTGATTAGACAATGGGTCTAGTCAATCAAATGGTCTTCGTTGAGTCAACAAACGTTTCTCTCTTCGATTCAAGCAATGATAATCAATTTTTTTTCGTAAAACAAAAAGTCTGCATAGACAATCGATCCTGTGGCGACAATTGAAACTTTGATTCATCATGAACAACTTTGGAAATCGATCAAAGGCACATTTATCAATGAACGAGAACCAGCTTTTTGCACAACATTGAACTGTTGTGTAAGTTGAAGGATGAAAGGGGCGAAAAACTAAACAAAGTATTGTATTAATTGTAATATTGTTTTATTTACTGCGAAATCAAGGAATGTTAAGGTTGATTCCAAATTATTAAAAGTTGTTGATTCAACGATTATTTTTTAGTGAGATTGATCAAGCTTCTTGAAAAATCATTAACAATTAAAGATTTATTTGTAACATTTTGTTGATTTTAATGCGATTTGTAATTATTTTAAGCTCGATTCAAGAAATTTTGTGTATTGATTCGAAGCTTTTCACATTACTGCAATACAAGTGATCATGACTAATCGGAAATTATTTTTACTGACAAGGGAAATGAGGGAAGTGGTACGGTTAGAATCGGATAAAAAGTGTATAGTTCTGTTGGACATGAATCATGACGAAAATAGTGGGTTACCGCAGAAAGTTGAGAAGGCAATTATCCTTTTCTAACTCTAAGTTCGATCATTGATTTTCAAAACGCGTAAAACCAAAGTAAATACGTTTAAAAGAACTGGCGTAATGATGAAAAATCGTCAAAATGAGAAAAGCTAAACAAAAATAAATCTATTATAGTTTTGCAATTGAAAAAAATACAAACCAAGTTTAGAATTTGAAACCGATTTCATCAAAATATTCGATCAGCGAAATTTTGCAATTACACAAATGCGTTCATTTCTTATGTCTCTAAAAGCCTATCAGTTTTTGCACTTATTATTCATCTGATAATAAACCATAACGTATCAAACTACAAGAGCTGTTTTTGTCCCTTTTAATATGTTTGAGAAAACTGATTCAGCATTTCCAACCTGTCTGTTTAAAAGCGAGTTTCTGAGTTAAACTGAATTCTAATCATGATTACTCGTTTTTATGTTTGTATTTCGAACATGGTTGCAATAAATACAAAAATTTATTACAGAACACTCTCATTTTAGGCACAGTCGCCCCACAAAAAACCGAAGTTTTGACTTCTATTGTATGTTTATAAAAGTTAAGATTAGAGTGTTGATTTTCTAAGCCAGTGCTTAATTTTTTCAGAAGCGAATGTTAATCGCAGCATAATGTTGAAATTTTCAGTAAAAAAGAAGAAACACCTTTCTGTTGACCAGAAGCAAGTTACATTTATTGCAAATTCCAGGTACTTTATTGTACACACAGTCACGCCATCTGTTAATGTATCTACAGATTTTCAGAATTCGGTTATACAGTAAAAAACATGGTGCTCCATCTGCCATTAATTTGAGATAACTAAACAGCAATCGCATGTGTAATGTTGAATTTCGTGATACAATTTAATGAAAAATCTCGAAGATTTTTACTAGGAGCTTTTTGCTTTTTTTATACAATAATCAAGTTTAATAATCAATTTGTAGGCCTAATGGGTTTCTTTCAATTCAGACCAACCCGAGCTTTATTGAATACTAACTCAGCGTTTACACAATCGATTCAAAATTTACCTGTTTCTAGAGCATCGACCTAATTATTTTCTTAATGTTACAACGGATTTGATTAAAAATGAGTATTGGTGTTTTCATCTCGACTTCATTGGTTGCATTTCAATCGTTTAATTTTAAAACTTTACTTCGATGTTAATTTACTTTATTATTTCACTATAGATGTTAATTTATTTTATTATTTCACTATAGATTACCACTAATCTCCTTTAATTATTTATTGATCAAGGTGTTTGATCTTATAATATTTACTGGACGGTTATACTTGGCTTTTATTCTTGACGGTCGTTTGTATTAATAACTTTTGAACGTGGAGTCAGATCTTTATGATATTCAGTAAGTATAATTCCCAAAATTGAGAACCACAAATTCAGAGTCTCAAGGACATTCAAGGAGATTCATCCATGTGGTTAGGTATTTTGTTTATGGAAATTTGGGCGATACTCAATTGTCATATTTCAAAGTCACTGCGTTATTTGACCTCTAACTGATTTATAAAAGTCATTTTCTGCAAAGACAAATATTTTCAGATTAGTTGATGCTAGTGACATGTTCATAACTTATTGTGGTGAAAGATATGAGTGTTCACGCATTTTTGTGTTAATCAATTGGTTTTGAGAAAAATGCATTTATCTTTCTAACGCTGTGAGATACTAACTCGTAATAAGTACCAATCAATCTGAAAATTTTCACACTTTCAGAAAATGACCTTTAAATATCAGTAAGAGGTCAAATAACGCAATGATCTGAATGACATTGACCTTGAAATATGACAATTGAGTATCGCCTAAATTTCCATGAACAAGATACCTAACCTCAAGGTAAAATTAGCTGAAATGCCCTGTAGTTAAGATTAATACACATCTTTTGTGTCTCAATTGTATGAAATTAATCGGACCTGCAAATATTAGCGATCTTTCAGGATTGGCATTAAGTTCGAAGACGGTTGGTACTAATGTATTATTAAATGGCCTCAAAATGTTACATATATTTTTCGTAGATTTTGCGAAGAAACTGGTAAAGAATGGATCATACTTAATTTCATGCTAGCATCTGAAATAACCCGCAACCTTAAATCCCGAATGGACATACAGTATAATGTAGTTGACAATTAGCCTGTAACCTTAACTTTGAATACATAGGGGTAATCGCAACGCATGTAGTATGACGAAGATGCCAAAGCGTTCTGGGATATTTATTCCATAAAAAATAAGAAAATGGTAGTCACTGAGAAACCTCCTGGACGACATTTAAACAGAAAGCAAATTGACATAAAAAGGCAAAGAAGGAGTTGTTACTACTAATCCAATCTCAATGGAAACCTGCTCCATATTTTCAATCATGGAGTTGAGCTCTTTCGCATCGAATGAGCTGCAAGAGAAAACCTTAAAACGAGCAGAAAACTCCTGAAAAGAGAGAAAGAGAAAGAAAGGAAAAATGAAAAGAAAGGTAAACAGTTAAACAAATTGAAGCTTACATTCATTCATGTCGTTTACTTGGTTATTGGCTAAATCCATTTCATAATAATTTTTCAGTGGTAACTTAAAAGTAAATTTAACTAAGTCGAACAAAAAATTTAGTTATTTGGATGTTGAGAGTTGCTGTAAAAGTGACCAGTTTTTTCAATGTACACTTTGAATAAAGCTTGAACATCTGTGGAACGGAGTAAGTTTTTGCTCATTTATTAACCCACAAATGAATTAACGAATATTTTGTCAATAAATTTGTCGCACTTGAATTACTTTTGACCATTCAATTGGGCTCAATGTTTTTTAGTTCTTGACCTTTCGTAACATTTGATTGTTTGTAACTTGGAAATATTTATACAATATATAAAGTCAAACTATAAAATTTTTGCGGGAAGATTGTGACCAAACTAAACGGGTTCTAAAGAAAAGCTTCACATAGGATGTAAGCCATGATTAAACTACAATCGCAAAAAATAGTTCGAACTTTCTCGGAATTTGGGTTACTGAGAAATTCGCGTTCAAACAGGGTAGGGGGAAAAAAGCAGAATCCGTATCTTTTACTATTGATTTTGGGGGAAAAACTTTTTGGTTATTCAGGTTGATGGTTTATTGTTGGTTTAGAAGGATAAGTAAAACCGTCTTTCGAGTAAAGAGTTAAGTGAAAAATATTGTACCTTAACTGTACAGAAAGATTTCATTCTGTTTAGCTGTATAACCAGATTTTATTTTATTTTTTAGTTTTTCTCATTGACGATAATTTTTCATCAAGAATTTGAGTCTTTAAATATGGATTGAATTTATTGTATTTCAGTGAAAAAATTACGATCAGTCATGATCGGTGGTCCACTTGTTGAGTTAATAGTAAAGGAATCTATTGTATTTAGAATTCGGCCATTTCATGATATATGTTAATGATATTTGTCATTAATTCTCAAGGATTAAGATAGATTTCAGACCTATCTATCTAACAATTTTGTTATTCATAATAAGCCATTTTTCAGAATTTTCATGATATCTTTATGATAAAGATATTCATTAAATTTTGCTCAATAATCGTGATAGATGCTGACAGTATCTATCATATGAATGCATTTTCAAGCATATTTAATCAGTTTGAATGGAAAAATGAGGTCTCAAAGTTGAACATCCCCCGAGAAGTAAAAAAAACATCCCCCGAGAACAAAGACAAACATCTTCCGAGAAGAAACTGAACTTGTTTGGTTGAATGAAACTGAAAAACAATGTATTCTTAAAAATTTTTTATTCAAGGATGTATTGAATTGCAATGAATGTAAATCATTCAGTTCTAACATGAACTGGTTTTAGAGCGCTTGGTTTAGATAGATCTTTTTCAATGAGCTTTCGCTTGGCGCAAGTGACGGATCTTTCTTTATCACCATTCATATGGCGAAGACAATGGTCACTCCTTCCAGGTTTAAATTCTATATAACAATATGGACAGGCGAAAACTTTTTTCCCTTTATTTTGTTTTTTTCTCTCCACTGTTGCTGTGGCCAGTTCCTCAATAGTTTTGATTTCTGGGTCGCGACGTTGCATTTGCAATTCAACTTCATCATCTCCCATATTGAAATCCGATACTTTTCCATACCACTTGGAACTCAAACAAACATAATTTTCTCCATTGATTTCAGTAAGGTGGTCGAATTTCATCTCATAATCGATCTCATCATAGTTGATCAGTGATGGAGCTGGCTTTGCAACCTGACGTTTGGTTCTTTTCTGCATACACAAAGAAAAAATAAATGTAATCAGTAATCATAATAAAAACATATATATACATTTGTACTTACATTAGGGGCCATTTTTAAATAATAGTTAAAAGATTAACAATTCAAATTAATGAAGGCAATTTTAAAACACGAATTACTATTGAGTATTCAATTCACTTGACCTATTTAGGTTCAAAACATATGACCTTATGTTGCTATGCAACGCAAAAAGTGACCTGAAAGTGAACTAAATAGCGGGCAATTCAAGCGTAAAAACTCGTTTTAGAATCAATGGGACGTGAATTCAGTCGTTAGTGGAAATAATCATGCGTAATAGGGGTCATTTCAGTTTCCATTCTGGGCATCAGAAGCGTATGAAACGGCACTGCTAATAACCGTTGGATCTTTTTGTTAGTCAATATTTTTATTATATAGTTTGTTAATCACTTACTGAACCGTGGTAGCAATCACAAAGTGTTGCTTGTATTATTATAATATGAAAAATTTCCATTGAAAAACATTTTCAGAGTCTGCTTAAACACATGAACAAGTTCAATAACATGTTTCATGCTTGTATGTGGAACTTAATTCTTGTATCCAGTTTGAATATCATCTATGGATTAAGAGGCATTTTCAAGAAAGTTTGATTATCTGTCTATAAACTGTACTTTTGCTTTATATTTCAGTTTTTACACAACGTTGATCAAATTCGTATAAGGAATCGATTCGTTTGACTTCATATTGAGGAAATTAGTTGTGATCAAGTTGATTAAAGGCAACAGAAAGTACAATTGCATAAAATTACTAACTCGCGTGAGGTTTAAACCTCCGTCAAACTCAGTGGATTGTAGGCACCATCTATAGACACAACGGACAATCATGTGTGTCAACTAGCCTGGATTATATACCAATCCTTCTTACTTTGACTTTAATCTGAAAATGATTAATGATCGAAAATATGATTTCATTATTATCCTTCTAAGTCTTAGCTGCTAATTACACTGGTAGCTGCACTAACGCAACAAATGGGTCAATTTTTACCATAGTCGCCATCTATTAGATCATTCAATTTTCTTCAAAGTTGACCATTATATACATGTTAATGTCTCTAAAACAATAAAATAACAAAGATGGCGACACCTAAAAATTGCGTTAACTGAAACCCCAATTTGTTGCGTTGTGTGCAGCTACCAGTGTATTCAGACCTTATTCATTGATTGCAGCGAACATGAAAAGCTTCATTTTGCAATATTCAAAGATAATAAAGTTAAACACACATTAACAACAAATAAATATGCTAAAAGATTTTAATTTTAAAAAATAATCATATTGTAATGGAAGTTTAAATTGGTAATTTGTTCTGCTTTTGATTGTTTTAAACTGACATCCTTTAATTGCCACAATCTTGGGCGGTTTTTGTAAGTTTATCGGTTTCAACTCCAATAGCCTTCAGTTTAGCAACGAGTTTATCTACAATATCGCTGTCTAAGTTTGGTTTTCGTGATAAAATCCAAGCATTCTCTGTAATAAATGATCATGAAATAATTAATTTTATTGCAATTATCAAGGCTTATGAAGAATAGATTAACACTCACTTAAGTTGAATAAACCAAGAACATCATTACAAGAAACGACCAAAGAGTATGTATCATAATCAGTATCAACAATCCAGTATTGAGCAGATGGAGAGACTAAAGATGAAACGGGCAAATATCATTTTAATTTTACAGTCGAGTTTAATTGACTGATTTGATGAAGCTGATCATCTATCAAATATACTTAATAGGTGTTCAAACGGGTAGGTTAAACTTTGGGGCTTTATATCTCGAAAAATAGGTGCACGATCGTTGTCATTCTAATTTGATATTAATTAGCTTTACCAGGAATTTGAGAATGTCTTAAAGACAGAGTAATTAGAAGCGAAACAAAAACGCTCACCCGACTCGAAAAAGCGATTTATAATGGGATTATAACATTTCAATGGAAACTTGTCAAAAATTTATAGCTGTATTTTTGAAAATCGTCTGATAGCGTTGATTGTAAAAAGGTTAGGGTATTTCGAGCACAGCTGTCATTAATTCCTGATGAAAATCTATTGATATACAAATTTTCAGATCAATAAACAAATCCGTTCTAAAGATATAGCCGTTTACTTTTTGACCTACCCGTTTGAACACCTAGTACATTGGAAGAAGCTGACAGCAAAAACATTTGATTGAGTTCCTGGCTTAGCAGTTCCAACAACTGAAACTTGAGAGTTGATCAAGGCCACTCCAGTGTTGTTTACAGCAACATTACCGTTTGAGTCGACTGTATATTCAGTTTTTACACAACGTTGACTAAGTTCAAAGATGAGATCAGTTCGTTTGATTGCATACATTTTCCAAGATACTGAGAAAACCAGTCGGAATCTAGTTAACTTAAAATGAACAATATTTAAAATCTTAATCCAACTAAGCAAGTACCCAAGTAAGACTCAATCCTCCATCAATTTCAGTTGTTTGTGGACATCGACTAGGAGAAAAACTGGAGTCGAGCTGATAAAAGGTTGATGAGAGGACAACCAATGAAATTAAGGCTACTCGATTCCTTTTCGGAACGAGGTAAAACTAAAGAGTTTATTAACAAAAGTTGTTAGCTGGTTTATTTTGCGAATGCAATCAGTATATTTTACGCGCCATCAACAATAATCATGTTATCAAATCAAAACTTTGTTCAGTTTTGTTCATCAAATTCACTTTACAAAGTTTGATTCTTAATAATCAAGAAGAAAAATTGAAGATTTGCAAATTTTCAGTAGAATGACTTTCATTGTTGACTTTATTTGCTGATTGCCCCCTGTTTGTGCTTGGACTGTGCATACAATATTCCAAGCTTATAAATGAATTGATGATTTAGGTGCTAGTAAAGCTACTCCGTTACACAGATGAGAGTGAATAAAGTATCTAACTGATCATGTATGTAACCAGAAATGTGCATCAAACTCGCAGACTCGAACATTGAGAGAAAAGTTGTGAGACAGTTGAATTGGTGGTTGCAGTCAGAAGTTGTTGTACTCTTGTTTTTAACACTACAACAGGATCACCAATAGAAAAATGTAAGCTAACATGTAAGTTTGATTATTTATAATCATGTACGTCAATGTAACCCTTTCCTTTTGGTTTGATACAAACGCGACCAGCACCATCACCACTAACAGTAACAACAACAGCAATACCAATTATGTCAACAGTGATGAAATTTACATACCATTGGTACCGTCCAGCGGATTATTTAATCCATCAAGTTACCTTTTATCAAGTGTTGATAATGATGTAAATAATGATCCATACAATTCATCCATTTCTTCCGTTATCAATTTGCATGGTCAAATTAATGGTAACACTTCCAATGAACTGTTTGACAGTTCATTGCACCCAAAACCGGAAAAAGTTTACTGGGCTTTGTGGCTTGTGATACTTCCCTTTTTAGCCGTTTTCGGCAACATTCTTGTTATACTCAGTGTTTATCGAGAAAAATCACTCCAAACGGTTACAAATTATTTCATTGTGAGCCTTGCTTTTGCTGATCTTCTTGTTGCAGGAGTTGTTATGCCTTTTGCAGTCTACTATTTGGTAAGTCTTAACATTAGTCTTATAATTTTGTATAACAAAGTGTTCATTTGTGGTGAATAATGAAACGTAAAAATCGTTCAACATCACTCGAAAACTTGTATTCACAGATAAATTGACAATTCATGTTTCACCTCTTGACTGGATTACTGAGATTCAAGCAAACTCCCTGCTAAGAATAACAAGAAAATTTGTATTCCCACGTTTTATTCATACAATTGACTTGGCATTTGGTTTAGATTCACATTTATTATTTCAAGAGTAAAATCCGTTCTTTCGATTGAGGTAAACTTTCATTGTGTCGATTGATTGGAAAGTTAATTTTGTCCATAATCAATTGAATTGATTGTAAGGAAAACTGATTCAATCAATATTAATGATTGACAGAAGGAAAAGTTTAATAATAACTTTATTTGCGATGAAATGCTTTTTTCTGCTGCTCAACAAATTGAACTTTCACTTGTTATTCAAGTGTGAATGCTTAGAGTCTATCACGAAACACTTGAAAATTCAATTAAATTGGCCAAAAATAATGAAAGCAAAAGAAGTGAAGAAGAAGCAAAAATCGAAAACAAATGAAACTCGAAAAGCAATTGAAAAGTGGAAAGCTTTTTATAATAACGGTTAGTAAATCTCATAGTAACTCTTCGTCTGCAAATAGCAACAAAATTAACCATCAATTATCATGAAACAATCAATGTCCAATAATTATCTATGAATCATCTCGACAAAAATAGAGAGATTTTCAATTTAATCGACAGAATTTTGTTGAAATCTTTTCAATTTCATGTTTGCAAGTCACCAATTCTTGATAAAAGTTTCAATAAAGACTCTGAACTGAAACTGAAACTGAAAGAAAAAGTGAAATACGAACAAAAAAACAAGTTGATTCAATTTGATATTTAAATTATTTAGTCGAGTATGCATAATATATTATGTATATACACTGAATACTATTGAACATGAACCATATATTGAACAGATTGAGAAAAAAGAACAAAAATCTTTCGATTTACCCTTTCTTTTCTGTTTCAATTGAATATTGAGAAAGGCAAAAGTTATTTGTATTGTGTGATGAAGATAATGATGATGATAAATAGGAATACCTCATGTATCAGGAAAGATGAAAAAGTTCATTGATTAGATTTTACACTTTCATTTCTCATTGTTGTCTTTATGAAAACGTTGGAAGGAAAGGAGTGAAAAAAGAAGGAAAAAAAGGCGAAAAGAGATTCATGAAAAAGTCTCGAGTCTATGTTTAGCATAATGATAAATACAATAATGAAATGAAGTTTACATGAAAGATTAACTAACAAATGAATCCATTAATCTTGATTTGATTAATGATGGTTGATGATTTAAAATATACTTGATTCACTTTTATTCACTCCTTTGACCATTTATTTCTGTTGTTTTAATTTGATCAACTTTAATGATTGTTCACGTTCAATGTTTGTTTCAAAAAAGCAACACTTGAAGTTCAACTGACGAACACAAAGTAATGAAAAAAGTTTTCAACTTTTCGCTCTTGAACCCTTTTCTCCCAGTTGAGCAAATGTATTGCTTCAAGACTGACAATCAATATGCAACCTTTGATTATCTAATGAATTGAGCAAACAATAAGCTTGATGTGATGATATCATCTAAAAATAAACTCGACAGTAAAAGGAAACATAATGTATTGATAGAAATGGGAATCAACATGAAGATGGATAAGATGATGAAAAGGAATGTTAATGATTCAATGGAGGGAATGATAAAGATGATAATGATAATAATGATGATAAAGCTTAAGGTAATCAAAAGATGATGATGATGGAAAATGGGATGAATGAAAAACTTATTTCTCTCTTTCTCACTATATTCTTATTTTTGCATTTTCGTTGGGAATTAAATGTTGGAATGAAAAGAAAATAATGGAATGCTCATTGGAAAATAAGTCGAGTTTGGTGATCTTTTTTTGATCTCATGCACAGTTCTTGGTTAAAGTTAAATTAATGATTGAACAAAAGTAGAGTGAAAACTATCTCGACTGTTTAGAGATGACAATAAACAGTTTACTAACATTAATCTTTGACACAATTAACGTTCATTGTAAAGAAAATTTTCCTTTTTCTTTTGTTTTCCTTTATTTCCATTTGATTTGAATAAAGATTCATTTTGAGCAATTTTGATTAGAAAAAAAAAGTTGACTTTTAATGCTTTCTCACATTGGCAAGTAAAAGCAAACTAAATGATCGTCAAAATTCAAGAGTGAAAAATAATCTAATTTAATATTCATATCAACTTAAATAGTCTTTTGCAAAAAAGTAAAAAACGAAAAAAAATGAAAAATGAAAAATTCTATTTTTGTCACATTCAGTGTCAGAATACACTGTAACTTGTTTAATTAACTTTATCACGTTAATTACAGCCCATTTCAAGTCAATTACAACCTTGTACGAGTGAAACATTAGTACACTTTTGGTTATCAATGAAGAGCTAAACAATTTATTGTAAATGAAAAAATTCCAGATAAAAATTAATGACTAATAGAAATCTCACAATTTAAGGAAATTCTCAAAATATAAGAATGAGGACCAAAACGGCCTGAATCAGATTTTTTCAAACTATTTTTTAGATGTGAAATGACCTTTCTTTTTGCCTGGGAAACAAACCATTTCAGATTAAACTCATCACGCTAATCATGAATATGGAATCGGTTATCAATACGAATGCTGGAATAACTAGAAAAAACATAAAAATGAAAAAAGCTCTTAATAAATAAGACCATGAACGGGTTTAGCACAGTGCGTGAAGGGAAACAGAAACTACATTTTATTATGGATTATCAAAATCACTTTTTAGACTCCATTTATGAATTCTGTAAAAACATTCTCTTGATTTGGTTTGAGAGCTTCGTTTCATGAAAAATCATCGAAAATCGAAATCCATGGGTTTTCATGGATTTTCTCAAAAAATTAAGATGATGAAATAAATAGATTGCTTTTTGGTAAGCGTCAGAATTCAGATGAGTAAACTTGTCTAAATAATGCGAAAAAATCTATCTAATCTTCCCTATTCTTTTGGTCTTCGTCCTTCGAATTTTGACTGAGGAGAAAAGATAATCAACTATTTTTCCAGGGTCGATTTTCAATTCATTACTCAACTTGGTGTTTACATTCTACGAAAAGGTCACTTTTGCATATTCAATTGAAAAGCAAACGAAGATAAAGCGTCTACTCAAGTCTGATATTTCAAGTTGCTCTTGACAAGGTTCATGGTAATGAGTTGAAACTCATTGGTAAACTTTTGCCGAGTTAACATAATGAATGATGGAATCCAAATGATGGTAACCTTGAAAGTTTTGGCTTTTTCAGTGTCTAACAATGAATAAGAAAGATTCTTAATAGCAATATTAATATTATCAATCAAAGCATTTCAATTGTTGACACAATTCACTTTATTTATTCGGCAACTGCTGGAAGCAACGAGAAGAAAAGCCATGATAAATGCTTTCACTTTTCTTTCCCTTTTCACTCTCTTTCAATTTCATCATTTTTTTTCTTTCTTTCCAATTTCAATTTGAATATATTTTTCAGCTTTATTCTTGTGGATAACTTTTGATTTGTTTTCATCTTTTTTCTCTTTTCCTCTCTTCTTTTCAACTTTTCAAAAGTTTTTCCTCTCTTCTCTCGCCAGTTTTGATCATTCATTTCTCCATGTACATGAATCGGTTGAAGCATGTGTGTGACTAAGTGTCTGCCTATTGAAGTTATTAATGCCTTTTACCTTTCCTTCCCTGTGAATGTTGAATATTTTTCTTGTGTGTGTTGCAAGTAAAAAAGAAGAAGAGTGATAAACTTTTTTCTTCTTTTCTCTCGTTTTTCAAAGGAAAAGTTTGAGAAGGCAAAAAAGTGTGTAAAGATTAAAATTGCGAGAAAAAGATGCTGATTTTGATGAATTTTGGTAAAAGATGAAATCTTTTGTCAAAAGCCTGACGGCAAACTTTTACCAACTCCAACAACTCTAATACATATCATTATCGTATAAGAGTTTACTTTATTTATATATTCTTAGCAAGTTCAAACAACCTTCAGCAACTCGAGTTTTCATATTTTTTTATTCAACAATTTTCTACTCCAGCAAGTTGCAAGTCTAAAATTGAATAAAAACTGTTGAATCAAAGGTAACAAAACGAAAATTTGTATTCAACGATCCGACAATGAAAAAGATTTCAACATTTTCGCAATTATTTTGAGAAAGTCGAAGTTGATCACATTTCAGAATCTGGATTTTTGTTGAAGGCATCAATTAAAAAGCCAACTATGAAAAGGGAAGAAAGTAAAATGTAAAGAAAATAAAAATTTTCGTCAACTAACATGATCGATTGAGAATGGAAGTCCATTTATCAAGAATCACCATTATGTACATCTTTACATATGAACAGATGAATGTTTACTTTATATCCTAAGGGAGATGATAGTTTCATCTCTTATAAATCCAATATCATACATAATGTCAAACATTATTTGAATGAGATTGAACGAGATTCGATGAGATAGGAATGAAAGGAAAGAAAGAAAAGGAAAAGGTTGTGAGGCAAGAAAATTCTGGTTACAAGTTGGTCTCGAGTTTAACTCTGTTTTTGCTCATCAAAATAGCGATGTTTTTATCTCATCAAATCTTTTCTTTATTATGATGTATTATTTGAAATGAAGAGGAAAATCGAGATAACATTTCATTCTGCATTCCACAGTTGAGTTCCTCTTTTTTTCTTCTTCTCCTCACCTTATTCACAATTATTCTGTTGTCGACTAAATTTGGTAATCGACCAACTTGATCAGAATTCATTTTGGTTTTGCCTTCTTCACCTTCACTTTCATTGACAATTTTGACCAAGAAATAAAGGAAAGGCAACAACATGATGGATAACAAAGTGTGTCACGAGAGAAAAGATAAAAAAAGGAAAAAATATGAATGTTAGATTGATGAACTGAGTAAAGACGGAAGAGAAAAATTCT